ATATCTGCGCTTGATCTGCGATTTGACTCTCGCGAGGAAATCGAGGCACGCATTGACAGCCAGCCCAAACGCGTGACTATACACGACATCCTGCCTCGGACTCTTGGCGTCTGTTCTCGCTCCGAGACATATCCAGGAGAAAAGGCTCAATGTACGTCAGCTTATTCCGCGTCCATCTTAGCAAATCATCTCCATCCTACCTTGTTCCAGCAACATAAGCATTTGCTTAGATCATCCTCTTCTCTTCTCGACCCTAGCTCGCATACACGATGGCCATACACGCGCTCCTCATCTTCAACAACAAGGGACAACCTCGACTCGTCTCCATCTACGCTCCTCTCTCTACGCAAATTCAAGTAGCGCTAGTATCTCGAATCAAGACTCGTATATTCGATCGACCGTCCAGTCTGAGCGTGGGAGCAGGCCGGAGCAATAGGGCTAGAGCTTCTACTTCGAGCGCAAGTGGCACTCTCACAAACGCAGAGCTAGGCACCGAAGAGTATGCCGAGTCCAACTTTTTGGACGGGAGCGAATTTGCGCCGGTGTTTTTGTATGCTAGCGGAAGTAAGGGCAAAGCGAGGCGGAAGGAAGAGGCGGATGATGGAGCAGCAGCAGCAGCAGCAGAAATGGGAGATCATATCGGCGCTACAAAGGGAAGAGTAGAAGGCGATCAGGAGGAGGAAGAGCAAGAGAGATTAGGAAGAGGTTGGAAAATCGTCTGGAGAAATTATGCGACGCTTTACTTTGCGTGTATTGTGGACGAGAGCGAGAGTCCGTTGGGTATATTGGACTTGATACAGGTGAGGCTGGTATGCTGATTCGAAGCGACATGGCATGGGCTGACTCATTGCGCTGAGAGTTTTCATCAGGTCTTTGTGGAAGCGCTGGATCGATGTTTCGAGAATGTGTGCGAGCTTGACCTCATCTTTCATTTCGACGAAGTGGGTGTATGCATGCGAATGATGGAGCTCTTCTTGCCCATCCTTACCCCCATCCTACTTTCCTCTCTCTTTGTCCGCATCCCAACTCTTCAGGTTCATGCCATCTTGTCCGAGATCATCCAAGGTGGTCTAGTGCTGGACACTTCTCTAGAGTCCATTTGTGCGAATGCTAGCGCGAGTGCACGAGCGAGAAAAAAGAGCGCAGCGCAAAGCTCGGCCGTAGCTGCTGCTCTACCTGGTTTGGCGGATTGGATAGCTCCTGGAGGCGCAGCCTCTGGTACGTGGGGAGATAGTTGGAGAAGAGAGATATCTAGGTTTACGCAATAGGCTGGCATTAGTCTTTGGTGCTGGCTGCCAAAAAAAAACTCAAGAAAGACGCAATGCAATGCGACAATTGCCTTTTTGTCGAATAGAGACTTTGCTCACTTTGCTCACTGTCAATACGCTCTCATTGCCCAGAAGAGTGCTTCTGTTCTGCGTTGGAGCACCTCGACCAGCTGCAGATCGTTGGACATGATCACTGGATGTTATGCGGGCTTAGTAGCCGATCCAATCTACGCTTAAACTCGCTTAGGCATGTCATCAGCTCCTCGTCGATGATGAGCGGAATTTGCACGGCTGGCAGTGTGACGGATGCTTCACCCCAGTGAAGGAGCCAGCGCCCTCTGTTGTCCCTCTACATTTTCGGTTGCTCGCAAGAATCGCTCGAGCCAGGCTCTCGTTGCGCAATGCAAAATCATTGCGCTGCGCCTGCTTCCTGCGTTCTGGAAAAGCGCATGCACTCATTACACATACACTCACTTGCCGGTACTACTCTGACTGCAAGTCTGGTGCGCGTTGTGCTGAGCTGAATGTGAATGAAGCAAGATCACACTTGCCCTCGACTCGACACGAGTCGTAAATCGTGCACGGCCATTGTGTTCAACTCACACTACCATCACACAACGATCTGTGCTGGCTGTCATGGCCTCGCCGTGTATCTCGAGTCTGTCCGATGAACCCTTTTGGCCGCGCACGGGTAAGCCAGCAGACAGGTAGGTACCTCTCACAATCAGTGAACCTTGAGTAAGTCACTCAAGACTGAGTAAGTAGGTGGTCGCCACGCTCGATCGAATTGCACGTGTGACTGCCGCACCAGCAGCATAACTCCTGCTGCCCTCGCACGCGCGCGAGGCTGCCACGCTGCCCTGCTGCACAGCAGCAGGACTCGCCGACGGCGGAGATGAAGGTGGAGCAACAGCTGGGCCGCATGGACGGAAGGGACGGCACTTGCCGCTAGCTGGAGTCAAGCTCTGCTTCAGCGTGCCCTACATCACGGATGGGACGCCCCTCCACAATCAGTGAATCACTTGATCACGAACCGAATCGTGAATCAGTGAATGGATTCGTACATGCCACCTCCACTTTGAGGAGCGAGCGCGAGAGCACGCCATGCATGCAATGACCGTCCGTCGTTCCGTTGCATGGTGTTGCAACCTCAAATTGACGATTAGGTACAGGTACTCACTCGAGCGGGCTCAAGCAGCGCACGACTTTAGACCCGTGGTGGTGTTGTGTATGTATATATAGCAGATATACATGTTGCTTGCTTGCCCAAA